AGCTATAGTAAGTTCCAGGATAGCGGAGAAATTAAGGTTCGTGTTTAGAATAAACCTAGTTTGGAAGTTCTAGTCTCTGAAAACGTACCAGCAAACCGCCCTGAGTAATTCACTCAGGGGTTCCTTCAAAGAAAATAATAGGCTTGCGTTGTAACCCGGGCCTATCCTCCTGTGTTTGGGTTACATTATTGTATCTAGGACTCCCTTGTTCAAAAGTTAATTTCTACCGCTGTAATTATATTTTCTCTTTTAGGCGATGGCAGTCATAGGTAATAAGAAGCAATTAGAGAACATGGAAAAGGCTGAACGCGAAAAGGAGCTAGCCAGGGTCAAAATTAGGAAGGAAGATGTGGAACTAATTGTAAGTAATGAATTTCATAGTTAATATGAGCTGAAAATGAGCTCCATACAGAAATATTACCATATATGTTATGTTATATATTACATCTGGGTTAAAAAATTTGTGAACTTTTTTGCCAGGCAGCTAGTACTTGCTCGTAAAGAAACTTGTAAGTACTTGCTTGCAAGACACACAGGGACCTGAGGCAAAAAAAAAGTTATATATATAATTATAAAGAGAAGAAGGGATCTAACTTCCGCACGCTGGCGATCACAGTAACCTTTCATTTGAGCTCCAACCACAGACAGAAATTCACACTTATTCTATCAACTTTTGCACCATATCACAGCCAGATGTATCCACTTCGACCATGCACAACAATTAATCCACCCCTGTACCTCGATTCCACATTAGAGCCGTTAAACTTGATGGCAAACCACTGTTTTTGGCCAATGCGAAAAATTACTTGTCACAACTTATAACCCGAGTCGCGAATAAAAATGGCTAGATCTCAGCAATCAGACAACCGAACACAAAGACCTTGATACCGTTTTAACCGTCCGGGATCAGGAAATCTGAAAATCCACACGCGGTTCCTTCTCTTCTGGAATAGTCACAACTATTGTCCAATTTATCAGACTTTAGTAACTTCCAACGTAAACAAAACTGCCATTATTAGTGAATTCAGAACTACCCCGCACTCAACACCGGCTCGTCGCTGATTAGTCGCAGTAACTCTGCTGTAACTGAAAAATCAACGAAAAATCAAGGTAAATGTTCTCAAGGTAAGGTAATCAAGGTAAAAGTTCAAAGATAAATTTCCAGTTCTTGAAGATATTTACCTTGATTTTTCGTTGATTTTTCAGTTACAGCAGAGTTACTGCGACTAATCAGCGACGAGCCGGTGTTGAGTGCGGGGTAGTGGCGTCATCTATCGGAGAAGAAAATCGGATTTTAAAACGTTTCTCTGCTTGGGCCTAAATGTCGGATTTCTTTGCTTTGCAGATGTCAGAGATGATGATTTCTAAAACTGTGGCCGAGAGGAACCTGAGGGTGCACCGAGGAGACGTTGTAGCCACGTTAGCTGCATTAACCAACTGACTTCCTTTCAACATCGTGAAGCATCCTCGAAAGTGTACATAGACTTTATGATGAGCGAGCATCCTTTGCAGAAGCTGCAGACCTCAGGTCATCCCGACGAAGTTGAAATGTCGGCACTGCACACCTTCACATCCGAAGTTAATTAACACGTTTTTCTTCACACTTCTCAAATCTTTTGGGGTGGGCCCGGGGTTGCCATGTTCATCACAAGTCGACACACACTACAGGTTACGTACGGTGGGACACAGTGTGTAGTGAGCTGATCGAAGGAAGGTTATCGGGAATTTTTGTACGTAAAAAAACCACGTGATTTGAGTGCTTTTTCTATATCACAAGTGCTATTGGTACTAGGATACGTGTGGTAAAAACTAGGTGCTTATCTAAAAGCAAAATGTGACGTACATGTGTCAACACTTTTGTGTCATATTCCGATGCATAGAATGTGTGGTAAATTAAGTACAAGTCATCTGTCGTGAGGGCACTGGATGAAGTGAGAATATACTCTTCATACTCTACTCTATATACTCATATACTCTACTATTGTTCATATTACACTGTGTACATTCTGTTGTGCATTGTCACAGTCATAGAACACATAGAAAATTGACTTTTTTGTGTAATATTGATAACACATCAATCAATTTATTAGTAGATAAATTCTGCTTGACATCAATATCACCAGTCACTGTATCTTTACATGTAATAGCTAATTTTTTTCTTGCATTATTGAGAAAAATGTGACAACTATGATCATGATATTTAATGTTGTAGTTTCATTCCAAATTAAATTGTTTGATATAAAATGTTTTTGTATCTATAGATTTTCTCTTTGGTGCATAGAAATAGTTGTATCTACTTGCAACAAGAGTGGATTGTGAAATTGCTGGAAGCATAACAGAAGCGATAGGGAGGAAGAAAAATGAATGGATTGGCAGGAAGGAAGTAGAAGGGATTGGGAGTAGGAGGGTTTGGAGGTTTTGGGGGAACTGATAGGGCGGTAGTAGACAAGATAAGGATGGAACAGAAGAGATATGGTTGGATCAGAATGAATGAGGGAGCAGAAGGGGTAGAGAAAGGATTGGAAAAGAGCAGGACAGCAGGGATAATGAAGGTTAAAAAGGTTCATCACTCATAAAGATAAAAATAGCAACAAAGCACACTGGTCAGACTGGAGTGGGTTAATGAGGAAATTCAACAATAACTAATACTTAATAGCTGGTAGTTCGATCTCGCAAAGAGAACGTTTCTTGCTTGTTTCGAGCCTGCTTGTCGGGACGCGAGATTCCGTACAATGTGGCGTTTCAGCGTCGTAAAAATGCGGTACAGAAGGTATAGGGGTGGACACACTAGGCGATTTTTGTGAATCGAAAATCGCCTAGTGTGTCCAGTGTCGCGGTCGATTTTCGAGCCAGCCGGCTGAGTCGCCCGAATCAAACATGTTTGATTATTATTTGAGTCGCGCGGCTACAATCGCTTAGTGTGTCGGGTCTGCGATTGAGTCGGCCGATTGTACAATTCATCAGCCAATCAAATCACAATTAGTTGTCACATGATCTACAGAGTTGCCCGGCTCAGTCGCGTAGTGTGTCCACAGAGTCGCCCGGCTCAGTCGCGTAGTGTGTCCACAGCGTCGCCCGACTCAGCCGGCCGGCTCGATCGCATGAAAAATCGCATAGTGTGTCCACAACTTAGGAGACGTTTAGCTAGCGATTATGTACTGAATGGTATATGCAGCCGGGACCTTACATGCAAGGTCTGCTTCCTATTTCATACGTGAGGTCTAAAGATGGGATATTATTATAGAAATCTATGCTGGTATAACCCCTCTTCATTTTAAATTCTTAATTTTGGCAAAATATTATAATTCTCCGGATATATTGCGCATGGGCGAGCACCGTTTCAGACGTGCAGTACGGTCTAAAAAATAGTACGTAATATAGCTTGCTGCGGGAGAGTGGGGTGGGATACTGAGGGAAGGTGACAGGGAATATAGCTGAAGGGCGGTGGAAGAAGAAGGAAGCTGAGCGTGCAACAAGGGAGACAAGGGGAAGGGCAGGCGGGGATGAAGTAGTAGTTTTGCACCCTACTGGCTAGGGCGCTCTCCTAATTAGAAACACAGGTCTACTGATAACAATCTTTTACAGATATCTATGCTGAAATACCCCCTAACCATATTAAATGCATTTTCATCACAAAATATAACTCCTCTTGTGAGATATTGCGCATGCGCTAAAACAGTACCGTGGCCAGATTATGTGCTGAATGGTATATGCAGCCGGGACCTTGCATACAATGTCTGATTCCTATTTCATAAGTGAGGTCTACTGATGAGATATTATTATAGAAATCTATGCTGGCATAACCCCTCTTCCTCTTAAATTAATAATTTTGGCAAAATATTATTCTTCTCGTGAGATATTTCGCATGCGCAAGCACCGTTTCAGACGTGCAGTACTGCCTAAATAAAAGTACGTAATATAGCTTGCTGAGGGAGAGAGGGGTGGGAGACTGAGGGAAGGTGGCAGGAAAGACAGCCGAGGGGCGCTGAAAGAAGAAGGCGGCTGAGTGTGCGACAAAGGGAGACAAGGGGAAGGGCGGGCGGGGATGAAGTAGTAGTATTGCACCCTACTGGCTAGGGCGCTCTCCTAATTATAAACACAAGTCTACAGATAAGAATTTATTACAGAAATCGATGCAGAGATACCCCCTGACCATGTTAAATGCATTTTCAGCAGAAAATATAACTCCTCTGGTGAGATATTGCGCGTGCGCTAAAAGAGTAACGTGGTCAGATTATGTACTGAATGGTATATGCAGCCGGGACATTGCAAGCAAGGTCTGCTTCCTATTCCATAAGTGAGGTCTTCTGATGGAATATTATCCTAGAAATCTATGCTGGGATAACCCCTCTTCATTTTAAATTAATAATTTTGGCAAAATATTGTTCTTCTCGGGAGATATTGCGCATGCGCGAACATCGTTTCAGACGTGCAGTACGGCCTAAAAAATAGTACGTAATGTAGCTTGCTGCGGGAGAGAGAGGGGTGGGAGACCGAGGGAAGGTGGCAGGAAAGATAGCTGAGGGGCGGTGCAAGAAGAAGGAGGCTGAGCGTGCGACAAGGGTGACAAGGGGAAGGGCGGGCGGCGATGAAGTAGTAGTTTTGCACCCTACTGGCTAGGGCGCTCTCCTAATTATAAACACAGGTCTACTGATTAGAATTTATTACAGAAATCGATGCTGAGATACCCCCTGACCATATTAAATGCATTTTCATCACAAAATATAACTTTTGGTGAGATATTGCGCGTGAGCTAAAAGGGTAACGTGGCCAGATTATGTACTGAATGGTATATGCAGCCGGGACCTTACCTGCTAGGTCTGCTTCCTTTTTCATAAGTGAGGCCTACTGATGGAATATTAGTATAGAAATCTATGCTGGGATAACCCCTCTTCATTTTAAATTAACAAAAATTGGCAAAATATTTTTTCTTTTTTGAGACATTGCGCAAGCGCGAGCATCGTTTCAGACATGCAGTACGGCCTAAAAAATAGTACGTAATATAGCTTGCTGTGGGAGAGAAGGGTAGGATACTGAGGGAAGGTGGCATGGAAGACAGCCGAGGGGCGCTGGAAGAAGAAGGAGGTTGAGCGTGCGACAAGGGAGACAAGGGGAAGGTCGGGCGGGGATGAAGTAGTAGTATTGCACCCTACTGGCTAGGGCGCTCTCCTAATTATATACAAAAGCTACTGATAAGAATTTATTACAGAAATCGATGCAGAGATACGCCCTTACCATATTAAATGCATTTTTATCACAAAATATAACCTCTCTGGTGAGATATTGCGCACGCGCTAAAAGAGTAACGTGGCCAGATTATGTACTGAATGGTATATGCAGCCGGGACCTTGCATGCAAGGTCTGCTTCCTATTTCATAAGTGGGGTCTCTGATGGAATATTATTATAGAAATCTATGCTGGGATAACTTTTCTTCATTTCAAATTAATAATTTTGGCAAAATATTGTTCTTCTCGGGAGATATTGCGCATGCGAAAGCATCGTTTTAGACGTGCAGTACGGCCTAAAAAATAGTACGTAATATAGCTTGCTGCGGGAGAGAAGGGTAGGAGACTGAGGAAAGGTGGCAGGGAAGATAGCTGAGGGGCGCTGAAAGAAGGAGGCTGAGCGAGCGACAATGGAGACAAGCTAGGGGAAGGGCGGGCGGGGATGACGTAGTAGTTTTGCACCCTACTGGCTAGGGCGCTCTCCTAATTATAAGCACAAGCCTACTGATAAGAATTTATTACAGAAATCGATGCAGAGATACCCCCTGACAATATTAAATGCATTTTTATCACAAAATATAACTCCTCTGGTGAGATATTGCGCGTGCGCTAAAAGAGTAACGTGGCCAGATTATGTACTGAATGGTATATGCAGCCGGACATTGTATGCAAGGTCTGCTTCCTATTTCACAAGTGAGGTCTCTAATGGAATATTATGATAGAAATCTATGCTGGGATAACCCCTCTTCATTTCAAATGAATAATTTTGGCAAAATATTATTCTTTTCGGGAGTTATTGCGCATGCGCGAGCACCGTTTCAGACGTGCAGTACTGCCTAAAATAAAAGTACGTAATATAGCTTGCTGAGAGAGAGAGGGTGGAAGACTGAGGGAAGGTGGCAGGGAAGACAGCCGACGGGCGCTGGAAGAAGAAGGAGGCTGAGTGTGCAACAAGGGAGACAAGGAGAAGGGTGGGCGGGGATGAAGGAGTAGTTTTGCACCTTACTGGCTAGGGCGCTCTCTTAATTATAAACACAAGTCTACTGATAAGAATTTATTGCAGAAATCGATGCTGAGATACCCCCTGACCATATTAAATGCATTTTCATCACAAAATATAACTCCTCTGGTGATATATTGCGCATGCGCTAAAACAGCAACGTGGCCAGATTATGTACTGAATGGTATATGCAGCCGGGACCTTACATGCTAGGTCTGATTACTATTTCATAAGTGAAGTCTACTGATGGAATATTATTGTAGAAAATTAGAAATCTATGCTGGCATAACCCCTCTTCATTTTAAATTCATAATTTTGGCGAAATATTATTCTTCTCGGGAGACATTGCGCATGCGCGAGCACCGTTTCAGACGTGCAGCACTGCCTAAATAAAAATACGTAATATAGCTTGATGAGAGAGAGAGGGGTCGGAGACTAAGGGAAGGTGGCATGGAAGACAGCCGAGGGGCGCTGAAAGAAAAAGAAGGCTGAGTGCGTGACAAGGGAGACAAGGGGAAGGGCGGGCGGGGATGAAGTAGGAGTTTTGCACCCTACTGGCTAGGGCGCTCTCCTAATTATAAACACAGGTCTACTGATAAGAATTTATTACAGAAATCGATGCAGAGATACTCCCTGACCATATTAAATGCATTTTCATCACAAAATATAACTCATCTGGTGAGATATTGCGCATGCGCTAAAAGAGTAACGTGACCAGATTATGTACTGAATGATATATGCAGCCGGGACCTTACATGCTAGGTCTGCTTCCGATCTCATAAGTGAGGTCTACTGATGAAATATTATTATCGAAATCTATGCTGGGATAACCCTTCTTCATTTTAAATTAATAATTTTTGGCAAAATATTGTTGTTCTCGGGAGATATTGCGCATGCGCGAGCATCGTTTCAGACGTGCAGTACGGCTAAAAAAATAGTACGTAATATAGCTTGCTGCGGGAGAGAGGGGTGGGAGACTGAGGAAAGGTGGCAGGGAAGACAGCCGACGGGCGGTGAAAGAAGAAGGAGGCTGAGCGTGCGACAAGCGAAACAAGGGGAAGGGCGGGCAGGGATGAAGTAGGAGTTTTGCGCTCTACAGGCTAGAACGCTCTCCTAATTATAAACACAGGTGATTTTCTGTCAAATCGCACTTGATTGGTAGGTAGGTAGTGTAGCGATATCGCATGACCGACGTTCTGTGTCCACGCACATTAAATAAACACAACACACGCACGCCCGCTCTCCCGCCTGCCTTCCCGCACGCACGCACGCACGCACGCACGCACGCTCTCCCGCCTGGCTCCTCGCACGCACGCCCGCCCGCACGCACGCCCGCACGCACGCTCTCCCCCTTGCCTCCCCGTACCCCCGCCCGCACGCCCACCCGCATGCACGCACGCTCTCTCGCCTGCCTCCCCGCTCGCCCGCCCTCTCGCCAGCGCGCACGCCTACCCGCACGCACGCTCTCCCGCCTGCCTATCCGCGCGCACGCACGCCCGCACGCCCGCACGCACGCCCGCACGCCTGCACGCACGCACGCACGCAGGCACGCAACCACGCTCTCTCGCCGGCCTCCGTTCTGTCGTTTCTGTGTTTCGGGAGAAGCGTGTTTTTAAATTATATTTTTTGATAAACACAACTTTGTGGTATTCTTAATTTTCTATTCTCAATCCTAAATTACAGGTCCTAAATCCTATTTGCGGTCTTGTAACATGAAGCATGTTTGTCCATGATGTGAGTATTTGATAATATAGAGAATTCCGGTTAACATATAAGCATGATTTGACAGTTTGCTGTACAGTAGAAACCCGCGTATAAGAACATAGATTTTTCCAAGTTAGCCTCAACATGTTCTTATATAAATGGTGCTTACTGAAAAATTAGGCTCAAAAGGTTCTTAAATAGGTTCTTAATTGTTTCTACTTTTAATATGTACTAGCTGAAACCCGCGCGTAGTGACTGTGATGCATGTGTTACCAGTACAGTAGTGTTATGTGTAAGGTGTTATATGGAGAGTTTAGTTGTTGCACATGTTTGTTTTTTTATGGTTGAGATGTCAATACAAATACATGTACAATCATGCTTACACGTAACACATTAATCGACGTGTTCTTTTATGCGGGTTTTTACTGTATATGTAAATAATGCAGTACTGTGTCTCAATAACAATGCCAGGGTGCTGGCATTGCACCCTGGCATTGTTATTGTTGAGCATTGGCATTGGCATTGGCATTGTTATTGCATCGATATTGTTGAGCTCGTCTTTTTTATTTTACCTGTGTTTCTTTTTAAGTCTTCATCTGCATGGAAAATTAAGAACCTACTTTAAAATCTTAGCCTAAAACAGGTTCTTATGTAAAGGGGTCTAAATGGGAAATTTTAGCCTAACATGTTCTTAAAATCTATGTTCTTATACGCGGGTTTTTACTGTAGTCCACGTGTCTGTTGCAGTAAACTTGTCTTGTAACTTATTACTGCGATTCATGTGTGTGTGCGCGTGCCAGGAATCTGTATATGGGAAGAATTTAACATGATAGATGAACCTTATCATGAATTGTATGAAATTTATTGTATTTTGCTGTTGCTAGCTGTAACTTAAGATACCTGTTTGCGATCTTGTAATATGAACCATGTATGTCCATGATGTGAAGAGTTGATAATAATTATATAAAATGTAATATAATATATAATGTATATATAATATAAGCATGACTTGACAGCCAGTCGGTCAGTTTACAAAGTTGACAAATTTTAGACCGGTTTTGCAATATGCAATAAATATATCTGATAACCCCCACGACCTGTAAGATCATATATCGTTAAAACCTACATCACGCTATATGAGATAATTAATCGCTTGTACCTACAAGACAACAAGTTCTTATAGCATTGACTTTTTATTTTACTTCGCTTTATTGGTACAAACATATATATTCCCTATTATCTACTTCTGATATAGATGTATTTACATACTGTGACAATGCTGCAGAATTTTTGTCTAATTATCTGCATAGGTAGTTGCCACAACACGTCTGAAATGCCTTGCATAAGAATTGCTAGAAATAGTCACACGCATGTTTACAACGAGTTGATACTATATTTGAACAATGTCAACCAATGAAAGGATACCACAGCCTACATGAATGACTTTATTATTGAAAACTATATATGTATACGCGGCAGCGTCAGTTCGCCAACGCTTCTTTTAAATAATTTGCACTTGATAACATCATTCACACCTTGTATTTACAACAACTCAGTTGTCCAACGGTCTCTAAACAATTCGTTAAATCATTGTATTATAGTACAATTGTATAATATACAATTGTACAATTGTATAATATAAATATTTAGTGTATAGTATAGAGACCGTTGTACAATTACAGATTCTATTCATTATTTATACAGATGAATATATCCTGTGAACATTTATGCATTTACAACCTATTTAGTTTAAACCAGGTGCTGTATGTCACACCTTCAAGAAAATTCTCATTTATTCTTGAAAATATGCAAATAAAACATTTTAGGCAGGCATTAACAGATAAGCTAGATTGAAAAAAATCTGCCTTAATTTCATAATGAGATATATGATCATGATGGAACTAAATTCTATAAGATGGTTAGTATACATTAATCTTCTCAACCTTATCATATCAGTATTGGATCGCATAACTCCGTAGATTATAGTTGTCAGAAGCAATCATTAAGCAGAGAGATCTCTGGCCATATAAGGATACCTCCATTTAAGAAACATGTGTAAAAATATAATAGCTAAACTCAAATTTTTGTCACATCATATTTAATCAAAGTTTAATGGCGCATTTTGGAATCTTTGCTACCGTGCACTGCGATTTAATTCGCCGCGCTCACAGCACATACCGTGCTGGGGATCAGCGGGGGTTTTTTGGATCCTGGCGACTGTTACAGCCCAAACCGCGCCGAGGTTCGACGGGGGGTTTTCGGACTCTGGCGACCGTTACAGCCCAAACTGCATCGGGGTTCGACGGGGGGTTTTCGGACCCTGACGACCGTTACAGCCCAAACTGCATCGGGGTTCGACGGGGGGTTTTCGGACCCTGGCGACCGTTACAGCCCAAACTGCGTCGGGGTTCGACGGGGGTTTTCGGATCCTGGCGACCGTTACAGTCCAAACTGCATTGGGGTTCGACGGGGAGTATTTGGACCCTGACGACCGTTACAGCCCAAACTGCATCGGGGTTTGACGGGGGGGTTTCGGACCCTGACAACCGTTACAGCCCAAACTACGTCGGGGTTTGATGGGGGGTTTTCGGACCCTGACAACCGTTACAGGCCAAACCACGCCGGGGTTCGACGGGGGGGGGGTTCAGATCCTGGCGGCCGTTACAGCCCAAACTGCGTCGGAGTTCGACGGGGGTTTTCGGATCCTAGCGACCGTTACAGCCCAAACCGCGCTGGGGTTCGACGGGGGGGTTTTCGGACCCTGACGACCGTTACAGCCCAAACTGCGTCAGGGTTCGACGGGGGTTTTCGGATCCTGGCGACCGTTACAGCCCAAACTGCGTCGGGGTTCGACGAGGGGTTTTCGGACCCTGACAACCGTTACAGCCCAAACTGCGTCGGGGTTCGACGGGGGGTTTTCAGATCCTGGCGACCGGGCGTCGCGATCGGCAGCAGCTTGGCACTTCCCACGCTCGCGCGCTCGTGCTCCTCCCGGCGCGAGCGAATCTGCTCCTCCGCGAGCGCCATCTCCTCTTCCATCGTCAGCATGTCGTCGCGCGCCTTCTGCTGCCGCTCCAGCCGCGACGCGCTCGTCTGCTTCACGCTGAAGAACATCGGGCCGAGTTCCGCGAGCCAGTTACCGTCGACCGCCGTCACGCACTGCATGTACTCCTTCGAGGTCATGATGAGTTCGTGGTAGACGACGTAGTCCGGGGTGTAGCCCATGCCGAACAGTGCCGACGTCGGATGCAGGTGGCACGGCATGCCCGTCCTGCAGTTGACGTATTCGCCGATTCCCTGAGGAGATATGAATGAGATTATCAATCGTGTGCTGCAAATATCTCGCACATTTGGTCAGGAGTCTATCAATAGATTGATATATTGATATATATTGATATGCGGGGTGCGAAATTAACGAGAATCCGGAGCCAAATACTCCCTGATTTACTGCCGGACTCCCTGATTTGACATATGCTGGAATCCGTGTGACTCCCTGAAAATTCTGCCATACTAACTAGTTCGTTCCAGAGCATGGCCTCGCAGAATTACCGTATTTTTTCAACAAATATCTAAAGAAAATTTGGCAGACGTGCATCCGCATGAATCTTCAAAATAAGCACGTATGCGTTATTGTTAATATCTTTTTGAGCTTCAGACTGCGGACTCCCTCATTTTGCTACGGACTCCTTCTTTTTGAAGGCAGCGAGTCTGTTGGACTCCCTTGTTCAAAAGTTAATTTCTACCCCTGGATATGTATATATATATATATATATATATTGATAAATTGATATATATATTGATAGACCCCTGATTTGGTCAATGCTAGCACAACCATTTCTAAACTGTATCGACAGTTGACGTACTCTCCAAATCCCTGAAGAGATATGGAGATTATTAGTTGTGCGCTGCGAATATTTGGTCAATGCTAGCACTCATGTTCCTAAACCGTATCGACAGTTGACGTACTCCCAGATTCCCTGAAGAAATATGGAGATTATCGATTGTGCGCTGCGAATATCCCACACACCTATATTTGGTTAACGCTAGCACAAACATTTCTAAACTGTATATATATGTTCATGTGTCATATGTTCACACCACATCTTATTTTTAACTGGAACACCGATTTTCTTGAGCAATCTATTGTATTACGTGTTGAGAGAAACAAATCAGTATATATGAATAAATTTTAAGCACTTTTATAGAAGCCTTATTCCAATGTTATTTTCCAATTATTTTACTTTATTCACATGTGAATTCGTGGCAAATCCACACAAACGGAGCACATGTGCTTGAATTAAACCCTGAAATGTCAACTCAATTCCTGATAACATGGTAACAAGGGTTTATGATGACAAAGCATATAGTAAGATAGCATAAGCATGATAGTAACTTAGTAAGCATATAGTCAAGTGACCTCAGTTCCTCCTACCAAGCATAGGTATACATACCTTCAGTCTCGCAGCTTGATGAAAGTAGGCGGAGCAGATGCATTTGCGTATGATGTCCCAGTCTGTGCCACAGGATTTGAGCGGCATCTTTCGCTGGTCCATGATTTCTTTCAATTGCTGGCGCACCTCTCGCACCTATGAACGGAAAACAACGAATCGTGTTCCACCTTCTTGAGGGCATGTGTTGCTTACAATAAATAAATAAATAAATATCTATATGTGTGTATATATATGGATAGTCTATATACTGGATCAGTCTATATATGCCATATATAATAGGTGAGGAGTAACACAGTACTCCACTGTTGAAGACTTCTGAAGTAGACAAAATTACCTGTCTATAGGTCGAATGCAATCCTACACAACATACAATACAAAAAACACGAGTTTCAAATACCTTTCTCATTGCTTTGATGTGAATGAAGTGGTCCTGGGACCAGGACGATGAATAGCTGTTCGATTTCCATTGCTGGTAGACGTTTAAAAACGTAAGATGATCACTCTCTGGCACCTGGAACTTTTCTCTAGCTGCATCTCCCTCCTCTTCACGGCCCTTCGGCCGATAAAATATTGCGGGAACTGACAGCATGGAGACAATTATCTGGAAAAAAATTTCATTTATCGCATTACGAGGAATCTGCCATGTACTACTGAAGATATTCATTTATAAATACTTTGCCAACAGATGGAGGGAGTAATAATTGATCTTTAGCATGATAAAATACGAAGACAATGCCTGCGTAAATATTCCAGCTCTAGTCAAGTTTACTCTTTTGAGTACGAACCTGTTTAGAGTAGTCATAGTCTACTACCAAGCATCATTAATTTATGTGAATTTCTGAATTTAATTTCGAATCAACCGTTAAAGTGATTACGTCACCGTAAATAATAATAAAAAAAAAATAATCCACTTTTTCAAAAAATATAAGTGATTCTGTTCACTTTTTATGGTTAAATTGCTGCACTATACTTCTTATTTTACTATATTGTTTGATGTGAACGTACACTCGTAACTCATACATAGCCCATAGCAAGCAATTAATGTTATGAACACTAATATCAAATCGTCCAGGTTTTTTGGATTTTTAGCTAGTTGAGAAACAATCTTATCAGGTAAGAATTTGACGATACGTGTAGTCCCTTTAGTTCTTACTTTTAATGTAAAAAAATGGCACCAAAAATTATACAAATTTTACCATAGAAAATTCGTGACGTAGTCACTTTAAATATGTGTAACAGGACTATTTGATTCACACAAGTCTCGAAGTGGATTTTGTCATGGCGAGTGTTACCTACCAGTATGTCTGCACCGCAACCCATGTCACATGCGACGATAAGCATCTTTGAGAGGGCAGGATCGAGTGGGAACTCGACCATGTGGCGTCCAAGGTGTGTGAGCGCTCCAGTGTTGTCTAATGCACCCAGGATCCACAGCTGATACATCGAGTTCAGCATGTTGTCCTAAAAGCAGAATGTGGATATTCTGTTTTAAACAAATATGTAGGCGATAATGAATTGTCATACTGATGGTGCTATTACTGTGAACCATGTCACTCTTTGTCATAACTATAATAAAAATGTTGATATTCAAGCAATCCATATTGCAGGAATGAGAATGACCAAGAAAAAGCCTCTGATTTATTGAAAAATCATATGTGAAATCATATTTGAACAAAAAATCCACAGAAATGCACCTAAAACGTACGTACGAAGAAAACTCGAAAACTCCACCGAAAATTCTCCTCGATCGTACTGGCACAAGTCACACAGATGGGGTGCACGTGATTTTCACGCAGCACATACCTCAGGAGGCGCATCCATGAAATGGAATTGCAGAAGATCCTGAACACCAAGGGACTTAAGCAGTAGCACAACATTGGCCAGATTCGTACGCTGAATCTCGGGCACAGTAGCTGTCAACATCTCCTCTTTGTACTGCCGCTCAGTGTAAAGCCGATAACAGCGCCTACGAACAAACGTTGAGTTGAGCAGGCTTGTTCCAAGATCAAGCAAAACAACTATCCTCCAAAATTGAAATGCTCGTGATCTAATGGTTTACGTAGTTAGCTAAGTGAATGCATACAAACTTACCAAGCAAAACAACTATCCTCCAAAATTGAAATGCACACGATCTAACGGTTTACGTAGTTAGCTAAGTGAATGCATACAAACTTACCAAGCAAAACAACCATCCTCCAAAATTGAAATGCACATGATCTAACGGTTTACGTAGTTAGCTAAGTGAATGCATACAAACTTACCAAGCAAAACAACTATCCTCCAAAATTGAATGCTCATGATCTAACGGTTTACGTAGTTAGCTAAGTGAATGCATACAAACTTACCAAGCAAAACAACTATCCTCCAAAATTGAATGCTCATGATCTAACGGTTTACGTAGTTAGCTAAGTGAATGCATACAAACTTACCAAGCAAAACAACTATCCTCCAAAATTGAATGCACACGATCTAACAGCTTAGGTAGTTAGCTAAGCGAATGCATGCAAATTTCTCAAGCAAACCCGATTATTAACGTAAAGTAGAATGCATGTTCTACGTACCCAGGACCGGTTCTGCCAGCTCTGCCAGATCTTTGGTTTGCATTGGCCTGGCTGATGGGGTACACCTGCAGAGCGTCCATGCCTATTCGTGGGTTGAAGACTTTCAGCTTACAGTAGGCAGCATCAACAACAAACATGATGCCATCAACTAAAATAAAACAACAATTTGATATAGAGGTATAGAGCAAGTCAATCAAAGATACAGATGTGTGTGTATTTATATATATCAGGGTTAAATAATATAACTAACAATATTGTAACTGCAGCAATTGTGCCAGTTCATTCTATGTAGAATTAACAATGTAAAAACTCATGTCTGAGAGCATCTAAATGGGGGTAACGAAAGAAAGCTGCTTCTAAAATGCTGAAGACAAAGAAAAGCTGACTGCCAGACCAACCTGTTAGAGATGTTTCAGCAATGTTAGTAGCCACAATGCACTTCCTAATGCCATCAGGGGCCTTTTGGAAAATCTTGGCTTGTAAATCACTAGGAAGCTGGGAATAGATTGGCAAGATCGCAAGTGCCGGAGCTTCATCCAAAGCATCGAGCTTCTCTGTATGAAAAGAAAGGATATTATTTTTACCTTAGATTTTGTACTACTATCTTAATAGCAATTGCTGAAATGCAGTTCAAATACAGATAATCAGCACTGAGCAGACTAGGTAATAATAAATAAAAAACAAGGTATTTAAAACTTTAAAGTCACACATTGTTGTTTAAATATAAAGATGTAACCTGGTTACCAATTATATATCTAACAACCATCTACGTGCTTAATTGTAGAAGAAACCGTATCACAGGGTAAAACATGTACACACCTCGCACCATATCACATGTGCATTCAATGTCTTCTTGCCCTGGCATAAAGACGAGAATATCACCCTCCCATGGCTGCAGATGTATTTGGAGAGCTTGCTTTACTGCACTGTCAACATAGTCCTCCACAACGTTTTTGCTGAACATAATTTCCACGGGAAACGTACGGCCGGGTATCGTGTAGGTTGGAACATTGCCGAAAAACGTCGCAAATTTGCCCGCGTCCATTGTGGCTGATGTCACGATCAACTTGAGGTCCTGTCTCCTTGCCACCACCTGTCGACAAATAACATCATAACTACAATTTCTGGAAATCACCAACACAGTATTTACCAACGAGGCAACCACTGTTCCAAATCCTTCCTTTTCCTACCGATCACAAAGAAACATGGATTTTTCCGGGTAGTCTCAATAACATTCTAAATTCCTGCGGAACATCTACATAGAGTTTACAGGTTCGATACTACAAATCTATTAGAAATGAATGTGATACAAATCACGCTATTTTATTAAGTTGTTTTCACGGCACAAGCTGTCTGCAAAAATGGCATCGAGTCTGTAGGTCATTCGACAACTCAGCAGGTGTGTGTAACAGCTCTCTTTGTGCTGGCACCTGCTAGCAGCGCTAGCTAAGCCCAGACACGATTGTGGCAGCTCCAGCCTCGCTGGCTGTGATGCCGTGTTCAAGTTGTAAACTATTGTTTGAGTTATTAAACCAGTATTAAACGTATACAATTACGTAGTTATTGTTCTTCCGACGGACATATAACAGAATGATTCAGCAATTCAGCAATTCGTGGCACAACCCAGCAGCACCGCTTTGCCGCCACTCACATCTCTCAGCAGACCAAACAGCACGTCCGTGTTTAGCGATCGTTCGTGAGCCTCGTCCATGATAACCACACTGTAGTTGTCAAGGTCCGGTTCCCGGAGCGACTCTCTCAGCAGAATACCTTCATGAAAGACCATTGTGAGTAGTGTTGCTTATGTAAATTACATGAAAACCGATTACAAATTAGTAGTATATATTAGTATTATACTGTACACACTGTAGCAGAGTTACATTAACTTGGATGGAAACTGAGATTAGTGTGTTCGCAATTATGGTAATACCATCAGACGAGAATCAGACAGCTAATGCCTTATCATGTGAAGCAGACAGTTTTTCAACATACATTTTCAGGGAATATTGGATTACATAAAATGACTTCCACATACATACAGTGTATACCTTGCAAATAATCATGTAAATATACACGTTTATCAATTTAATTTCAACTTAACGATACACCTGTGCAATACGTGACTCTCCCATCCAACATCGTCACCTCGACTTTTTTAAATGATTCGACTCACCATCAGTCATGTACTTGATGACGGTGTTTTCGCTGGTGCAATCCTCAAATCGGATCGCGTACCCTACTTCCTCTCCTAGTTGGACGTCCATCTCCTCGGATACTCTCTTTGCGACGGACATTGCAGCTACACGACGCGGTTGTGTGCAACCGATCATGCCATACTTCGAGTAGCCCTCCTCGTGAAAATACTGTGTGAAAGTTATAGTTTAGATAACTATATTTTTATTATTATTATATAATTATTATATATATATATATATAATTAATATAAATAGTTACAGGGAACGTTATAGTATAGTGGTATTCCTTCAATTAAAACCTTTCAACTAAACTCCAAAAATACGTATATATAATACTGTTTCATGTAAGATCAAACAAGGCTTAATTTCTTTTCTATAACTATAGGTATCATCACATCTGCAAGTATTGGATGATATGTGTATACAAACAAGTCGTGTTACACGTGGAGTTTTACCTGGGTAAGCTGTGTGGTTTTTCCTGACCCAGTCTCACCTACGATGATTACAATGCTGTTGTCTCGCATCACTGTCAGTAACTGTAAACAAAACAAGGTCATTCAATTATGTAAAATTTGTCATTTTTGTATAGTTATGTGTAAATAAAAGCCCATTTCAGTATATAAAGTAGTACCTTGTCACATGTGCACGAATTTTTAACGTAGTCATACCTGTTCTCTAACAGCAAATATAGGCAAGTATTGTCTCTGTTGGAGTAATGTTTTTTTCTTTGCAAACTCGCTAGCAGCCTCTGTCTTTGCCTGCATGTGATCTGCAAACTTGTGCTCTTTCTTGAAATCAACACTTCCGTCTTCTTTAACAGCATCGTCCTGAAATAGGAATCAAAATGCACATGTGGGATTATCCATAAAATCATTTACTGCTGCAAATACTTTTCATAATAGTAAATGCTGCAATATCATTATGCTAAAGTTAACGTAATGAAAAAAAATTACTATAATATTGCTTCACATAATCGATAGGATTTTTTCGTTCGGTTAGGTGTAAAACATTAAGCAGGTATTAAATTGCTGTATCAGTCTATATAACTTTGGCAATATGTCAACAGTCATGCATTCATACAAATCAAGCCAGGAGACCAAACGTTCTGTCAACACCACCTACCTTTTCTTCTTCCTTCTTCACACCCATGATGTTTCCCAACTTGGTTCCGGCAAGCTCCCAATGCTTCTTCTGTCCCTTCTTCTTCTCTTTCTGATCTCTCCATGCCTTTACTACTGCACTGCCTTTCGTTGAGATTACCGCCATATCACTAGTTGGGTCCTATGAAAGAAAGGCAGAATTAAACATAGTCTTAAGATAAGATAAGATAAGATAAGATAAGATAAACTTTATTTTCATCGGTATGAGATAAAAATTACAAACTTGATCTTGATCACAACCTACGATAGCAGACTCCAAATCACTATTTAGGAATAGCTAGCACTATAGATGCTAGTAGATATGCTTCCACTGAGACTACTGTAACTATGTATAGCCACAGTCCATGCTGGCCACTGTTCCTTGTGCTCTCTGTACAAGGCTCCTGATTTTTAAGACAAGCAGCATTTGATCTTACTACAAAAAACTATATATCGTAATGAAAACCATGTGCCTTGAGATTACTAATGGTGGCAGTAGAAATGTGTTACAGACTCATTCTGCAAACACATATATGTCCTCATTCTAGAAGCAAGTCGGGCTGAAGCTACTGTTGCTAACTTCCTGCGTTTCTGTACGACTTACTTTTACCGGAACCACGGGGAGTGCCTGCTTACTGAACAACTTCTACTGTTGCTAACTTCCTGCGTTTCTGTACGACTTACTTTTACCGGAACCACGGGGAGTGATTGCTTGGTGAAGACGATGCGACCATCGAGGAAGGGAGGAGCGATGTTCTTAACGAGGAGGTGAACGCGGGCGACATTATCCTCGTCAAAATCCTCGTCAAAGTCGACGCGCTGTACGACACCACTCCGCAGCATCCGATTCTCCTCCCACTTTTCATTATCCTGGTAATTATAATGACAGATCGTTAGACAGCATTATACATGTGTGAAGGGGAGGCCTGGACTGTTGCTAAAGCACGCAGCATCCGATTCTCTTCCCACTTCTCGTTATCCTGGTAATTATAATGACAGGGCATTAGCATTAGACCCCATGATGTGAAGAGGAGGGGTGGACTGCTGCTAAAGGATGCAGGTTGACTGCACTTACCCATGTTGTGTGTTTGACCTGCTTATCACTAGAAGCTACTGAGCTATAAAGTTAGCAATGAATAATAAGGTAACATTATCGGTGGTGAAAGACAGACGTAGATAGAGATGATGCACAGTAACATAGCTTGGTTGGTCACTCATTCCGTATTCGCGTAGATTCCTAATGTGGCTTGGTTCCTATATAGTTGGTCACTTGATTCCTAATATGGCAAACACTGTTCAGCAGAAACTGTGTAACAATGAGCTTCACCTGGATGCATATGAAGACTCACAACACCACTCAACACTATTGCATCTATACGATTTTTTATCCATGAAAAAGACCGTCTTCAGTACATGTATTTGTATTTGAATAACATACAATAAAGATTAAATCATAATAAATGAAAAATATAGGTAGGAGACACTCGCCTGGTTGATCTGCCGCTGCATGGCCGACATACGCTTCTTTTTTCGCTCCTCCAACTGGGCTTCCTTCTTTCGGGCGTACTCTGCCGAGATGTCGGAGAACGGGTTGTGATTGTCGTCGTATCCTTCATCAATACCGTACCTATTTCAAGAATACGATGATTAGTGCCAAACTTAATTAATCCATTAGCAGTTGGCAGTGCCTGTAGCAATAACTTCATCGTATGTGGAGATATACATGAGGATTAATTAGTAAATACGCGCAGTAGTATAAGCTATGTTGGCTAAGAATGGTTTGTTATATCCATATAATATAGTAGTAGGTTCATTTAAGGCCCCTCTACCCCGACATAAAATTATTTAGCAATCTTGTTCACAATAATACCAATGCAATTACAAAATCCCAACAATCACTATTGCCTTACCATTCTCTGTCGAGCCGCTTCTGCTCTGCTTCCCACTGAGCTCTGTCTTCATCGTCTTCAAATTTCATCTCTTTGCTATCTTGCTTGTATCTGGGTGTCCGGCGTCTGTCTGCCCACGCATTGCGCTTATAGGTAGGGGTTGGCAGTGGGGTCTCATCAACATGTTTCCTATAATAATAATGTAGACTAATTATAAATATATAAATTATAAATATATAAATCATAAGTATAATAGTAGACTAATTGACGTCACGCACATATAATTCAGAGTGTCGGTAGATTTATTATTGGGGAGAAATGTTCGCGATGACAGCATAATGGTATGAGCGCAGTCGTAAGAGAATTTGTCAATTAGAACTAACGATCATTAATATTGTGCACGCTACAGTATGGTGTCGGAGTTAAGCTATGTGCTCGCAAAACTAGACTACAATGGAGACTAGAAACTAACTAGAGAACTAGACTAAAAATGGCTTTCTGAAGAAATAAATCACTCGGGAAATGGTATTCCTACCGCCGATCTGATCTCCCATAGCTCGATCTATAGCTTCTGTCACTTCTGTCACTTCTGTCGAACTGTCGCCTGGTGTACGACGATGGAGTGGGCTGGTCCCACGTGGATCGCCGAGAAGGTGTGGGGTCATCATCGTCCCACGCGGACCGCGATGGATCATCTATAACATAGGATAACCTCATATAAAACCTACAAGATAATAACACATTTCCTGGAGACGGGAGGATGGATGCTGAGAATAACGCATGAGGTGGAACGCGCTTGAAAGGGCTTCTGTGATGTGATGCGACGAAGGGGAGTTGGCAATAGCCTAAGCTTCCCTAGGGCAATTAACCTAAGATAATAATTAGCAATTTCATTAACCACAGGTTGCATACGCGTTACTCTCCTGTAACTGTGCATCACATGATCTCCTATTTATACTACATGGTGTAAGCCAACTCTACCAATTACCTTTCAATCTAACATTAGGTGTTCCAGGCTCATCTTTAAACTTTGTGCTGCGAGGTGTGTCATCCCAATTCCTTGAACTCCTGGCACTTCTATTTGACCTTTGTGACCTCTCCGAATGCTCGCCCTTTCCCCTGTATCTATCTCGCCCATGATCTTTGTCCCTCTGCCTGTTGTAATTTCTGTCCCACTCTCTTCCTCTGTCTGGTAGTAATTAGATGTAGATTAATCACAAATGCAAATAGTTACCGTGTGTTTCTGACCCTTTGCTGAAGAAATCGACTTCGTGTTTGATATATTATATTAATCATGAATGTGAGTTTCACGTTATGAACTTATTCCTGATCAACTACAGTCGATTGCTATTCGTAAGAAAATTCGAAAGAATTATGTTCTTTTTTACTAAAATGCAAATGCAATTTGTGTAGAAATGTAAATATATACAGCTCAGCAGAATAAGATGCAATGCAGTGCATGCGCTATTGATAATCGCATATATTAAATTAAATTCACTGCTTCTTCAAGTTCTTACCCATGTTCCTCCCTCCAGCTTTCTTTTTCGAAGATGCAGTCACGCCTCTTTCTTTATCTTTGTACTTCATATGTAGATGTTCCCTGACTGAGTCTGTGACACCTCCAGGGTGTGAAGGGGTTTCTACTCTTGAAGATCGATAATGCCTACGAAAGACACATGGACATTTAAAGCTTAGAATGACTCATATGTCAATCTAATCTATACTTGATATCATTAAAAAAATCAATGCAATATTTGATTTTTTCTCTTAAATGATACTTTAAATTTAAAATTAAATTCAACAGCAAAGAAGTAAAGCAATGTGGTACTTTACATTATTTACAGATAGCTAAACCTTTGTCACCACAGTCAATATCTTTAATTAGGTTAATTTACGCACATCCATTGGAATCTAATAAAATTACGTAAAAATGCACCTTTCATGTGACTCTTTATTGCCCTTGTTGTCTTCACGATCATCCTCAATGTCATCTCCTTCCCAGTCATCCTTGTACGACATAACTCTTGATCGCTTTTCAGTTGCCTGATCATTGTTTTCTTGCTGCTGTTTCCGCTTCGCTGCAGCAAGTTTGTCCAAGCCTGTAATCAACCCAAAAAATATGACAACGATCAAGTACAATATAGCATCTTCTGTGCCCATGTGTGGCCTCTGTACTTGATAATCAATCAATGGTATTTGTAATTAACAAGCTCCTAAAATTTGTTATCAAAATAAATTGTAATACATATATATATATATATATAATGCAGTTAATGATAGTTACCAAATAATGATTTTTGAGGCAGATTTGGTGCTTTAAACTCATGGGTATGTTCCGTATTTTTTGGCTTCTTAAGAATTAGTCCACCAACTTGATTCTGTGTTCCCTCAAGTCTGTGGATTGACGGTTCATCTAATCCTTCTGCCATCCTTTATTTATCTGAAATAAATAACCAAACCACTTATATATGAAAGCAGTTATGAATATACACATATTTGCATACATTAATTTACAGCACAGTATTATAGCAGTGAACATGTCGAGAATGGAGAATTATTGGTATATCCTACGTTTTCTCGCGTTGAGCACCATCTCCTGACAAAAAATAACTATAAGAATTATAGTAGTAGGTCATTTATCCTTATAATAACCGGCCAACAAGAACGTACGTACGTATACCGTTATACGTCATCATAGCAATAGAATGTGGAAAAGGTGTAATTTTCTTCATTTTTTAATTAAAGTTCCTGCGAGCAGATTCGTAATAGAATTCATTTTCAAACTAGAAAAACCATTGATTAAAATGCAGCTAAACGGCTAGAAAAACTAAAAAGTAATAGAACAGCCATCACGGTTCACAAACATGTACAGACTGAATGTACTGTAGAAATCAACGTTTATATTGCGTATGGCGGTATGTGCCTTGCCTTTGTTATTCAGTCTAAAATTAAACGTATTCCTACTACGGTACCTGTTGTTGTGATAGCTGACCAAATGTAACGTGATTTTTTATGTAATAGTTACTTCACCGACGTGAAATCGGACGTGGTGACGCGTGTTTGTCTTCAATATTTATAGTTGTGTAAACGCGCAACGACTAGTGGACGCGGACATGTTTAGCATGCCAGGAGCGCTACCTAGCGAGAAAGCGCACAACTGGGCGCCTCCCAGTTGGCGTAAAAACCCTAGCTAACCCTAACCCTAAACCGGAAAAACAGCATTGTACTTAATTTGTATAGCGCGGCCACTGAGTTATATATAATAACATTTAATATATAACTGATAGTTATTTTATACAGTGACAATATACTCAGTGAGCGCAGCGTATTATTAGCTGTAGATAAGATGTTATTTGGGTGGGAATTAACTGTGTCACTGACTCACTGAGTTATTCAAAGGCGTCATATAAATATTTTCTTAAAATTATCATTGATTTAAATTAAGAAGACCTCTGAGGAACCTCGGCGTGAGATATATAATTAAAGAAGTATACCAAGGATTTAATAAAACAGAAGAACAAAATAACAGTAACAGATAGTATATAGATATACAAGAGGGGTTTCAGTGATGGAGCCAATATTATGGTGGCGAAGTCTTCACTCTCTCCAAACAAACACACTTTGTGATTGCAGCCCTAACATTTCGAACGTTTGGCGAAAAAATATATGTCTGCACTCTGCACAGTAAAAACTATCAGCGCCATGGAGCACAGACGTACACGCGCGCACGCACGCACGCACGCACGCACGCATGCATGCATGCGCGGACGGATAATGCGTGGAGCTATCAGCCATGAACGCGCATACCACCAAAATAGCACCGTGACTCACAGACCCATCGATATATTATAGAGAAGCTATAGGATCTATATATAGATCTCTGCGTCGCCATGCCTTGCATGACTACGTGAACTTGAAAGCATGTGATAGCATCGTGCTTTTGAGCATCCCAGTTGTTATTTAATGCAGTATACAGGCGAATATAGCTAGTCTTTGGATACCTACGATGTGTACACAGTTATAACAACCCGTTGGTTGCTGTTTCATATATGTGTTTAATGTTTATATGTATGTGCGTAGTAGATCTGCCACGACGAAGCGGTAGCGAGTGTAGGTACACATGGCCGGCTCGGGTGTGACTCGAGTTATTCACAGATGCGATCATGCAAAAGAAAACCAGAAACTCGGTGAGAGCGTATATACCATACATAGATGCGTGTGCAGCAATTAAGGAGCGCAATGATTAACTCGCGTGTTTTTGTTTGTTAATTAAAAATGCATTAATTATCAGCCATCCGGTCTTGGGTAATTTATAATCGCTACGTAAATAATAATGAACGATCTCGTAACCAAAATCAGTGTAGCCGATGTTATAACCAACTCGATTCTATCGAAGACGGCTAAAATATGTTGGTTATGTAATTAGGATGAATTTAGAGATCTCACAATGTACTCCTGATGTAATAGCATAGATATAGAATACAGAATCTGTATTCTATATCTCTGGTAATAGTTATCACTCTTGGCATTGCGATCTTGCAGATTTGTCACACTGCCAGCTGACGACACTACCGGATGCTGTGTTTCATCTGATGCGGAACACAACCGTGCTGACCTTTGACCTCAGCTGTAACCTGATCTCTCGTATTCCATCTAAGCTAGCGCTCAAGTTCCACTTCCTCCTAGGTGAGCCGACCCAGCGTAAACTCGTATATACGGCCGGTAACAGTAGCGGTAACGTGCACAGTCGAATTCTGAGTCACACTCTGCGTTGTCGTTGGACATCCTTCGATCCACATTTACCTCTCCTATCCGAAGCGAACTCGCGGGCCGTTAAAAATAGTAGCGTACATGACTTCATATAAGCTTATATATCAATTGAATTGTATTACATATAGATTTAGGTTAACTGCCTTTGTGTTCTTAAATTATATAGGTGTAAATGATCAGATAAGCAATAAAACAAACATTCACGATATGATACTTTCAGACCTAGATTTGTCCAGCAACAAAATAAAGGCGGTCCCCACCGAGTTGGCGGATTTGCCCGACTTGCGTTCCATAAATTTCGCCAACAACAAGTTCAGTGAGATGCCTGCAGTTATTTATCAACTGAAAACCCTCAAGGAGCTACGTGCAGATAATAACCAGATATCCGGCAAGTTCACCACACACGTTATGACATATATATACGTACCGCACGGTTAACTCTATGGCTGATATAAATAAATCATGTCGCAACTATTAACATCAGTGATCGTGATGTTGCAATTATACTATAATTTTATCTTCGTATTCGTCTGTTGTTATCAGTATCACTAGTTGTAAAACGCATTCTGCTTGTTTGCCTGTATTTCCGTACGTGCCAGCCATAGTCTACGCGCCTGTTTGCATCCATCGAATCATATATAATTTTATCCAATGTTGTACAGATTTTATACTTCAATCAGGATAAATATAGATCAATTAAAAATGTGTAATAATGTTTTTTTCTCCAATAGATGTCGACATTTCCAAATTGAGTGAAATCCGCAGCCTACGTCAGATCTCACTGCTAGAGAATCCACTCACGTCTGCTACGCATGCGCAGTTACACCTACTTAGTAGACACGTTGATGTCAGTGTTTCACCATATAGAACGACGAACGAATGTATAATGGACACCGTTGACTAATACAAAACTATTAATTATTTATATCGGTGTATAAAGCAACGATAATGATACATATATATATATAATTGATTTTTATAGACACGTATTGTTTATAATTACCTTCAGATCCGATTGCGCCAGTAAAATAAACTGTTTATTACATTTGCATTATTAGTTTTCATCTCATTTTTATGTTTCCATACCAATCTAATAAGGCAAAAGAAGTCGTAATAGTGCCGTAAACATTGATATATTGTTATATTTCATTACAATTGTGACATGGTTCTTGCCCATATAGAAAGATCATACGTTTTCTGCCAAAATTATTCAGGTAGTGCATACTTGCTACTAATATATCCTATATACCTACATGATTATGGCTTCCCTGCAAATCTAATATAAGCGTACGTGAAAGTATATATGTATTGATAAAACGTAGCATAATTCTAAGGATACCTAACAACATAACGTTATTTATACGCTGCCGGCATAGTCATTCGTTCTATAATATTGTACATCCACATTTTTGTTGCTGCAATTTCCGAACGATCTTCGCATATATATATATATACGTGCTAAAACAACCTATGCTAGTATTTATAGTATAGTAGTATAGTATAGTATTAGTATTATTTCTAGTAAACCAAAACGTGAATTTAAATTAGCATTGGTATCCGTGAATTAACGCAAATCAAACCACATGCACGAACTTATGTCGTCGGGTTATTGCAACTACTTATAAATACGGTAATAGAATGTTTAACACGTTTACATAGCATACTTTATACAGTTGTAATTCACATTACCACCTTTCCAAGTTTGATTAGTTGAATACGTATGAGCGGCTAACATATATACAGCCCTACAATTAGCAAGAGAAAACAGTCTAAAAAACAGTGGTAACATCTGAAGTTTGCGTTGCATAGCATTAATTCTGGTATGTTGATAGATCAGGCGAATTTCTATATCCCGTTGTGCGCGACGCTGCAGCCTGATTGAACGTATTGTACGCTCCGGTGCCTCTAAAAGGTTTGCTCGACACGCTTTGCGCTGTCACCTTACCCGCATGCCCGTGGTGTGCATTTTTGGCGAAAGAACCACTTCCCGTTCCAAATGCAGCGGAAGTGGCCTTTCGAGCGCCAAATGACGTCACTCCTGTGCCGAATCGCGATTGGCGGAGAGACTGCTGAATTGGGATCTCGATGCCTGTGGGAACAGCACTGGCGGGGCCGGCGTGGATTCTCAGCTCCTCTTGGTGCGGCACCGCTTGGAAGACGATCGTACCGTCGTTATTCTGCGAGAAACTGTAGTCGGCGCCCTGAGCCGTCTCCCCCTCTCCGGCGCCATCTTGCGTGAACGACTGCGTAGCGTCCTGGTTAGCGGAGCGCGTGGCGGAAACCTCGACGCCTGCCTCTCCACTGCCGTTACCTTCCCTCTCGGCCGAGCTTGTCTCCATAGTGCGAGCGATGCCGGAGCGGTACCGCTTCCCGATCACCACCGGAGCCTCCTCCGTCAGAGAAGCCGAGAAGGCTTCCGGTGGTGCTAAACTGTCGGCCTCCCTCCGCCAGTTGTTGAAGTCGAACAGACCGAGGCTGACGTAGTTCGGGGCGATGTTGTCGAGACCGAAGGCTGAAGCGTCGAGAAAACTACTGAACGTGTTCACGTCGAAGTCGGCGTTCCCAGCTGGAAGGTTTATCGTCGTGGCTCCGTTCGCTCCGACGCCCTCCGAAAATCGCGAACTCGCCGGAACAAACCTGCGAACGCCGGTTAGTCTCTGGCGAGGGAACCCGCCAAAGTTCGTGGCCGTCGTGAATCGGGGAGAAGTCAGCCTGATGTTCGGGCGGTTTATCTGCTGTTGGGTGGTAACACGAATTCCTTGCGGTTGCCGAAACTGGGATTGTCTGAACTGGATGTTACGCGTGGAAGTTTGGGGAACGTTGAAACGCGAGATCTGAGTGGTAGACCGACGCGGTAAGGGGGCACTGCCTTGGAAGCCTTGTAAGATCGGGAAGGGGCCGGCAACCTTATCGAAATCGTTGTAATACGTCTCAAGGTCGGTCGACTGCTGCGGAAGGAATTGTCGAACTTGCTTATTATTGACTCTGAAGTTCTGATCGACAATAGAAAATTGAGATAGTCCGGGCGCGTTAGTGAGGCTTCCCTGGTTATAATAGACGTTATTCCCTTGTTGCTGCGAACCTTGTCCCCCGTATAAGCCATTTCCACCGCGCGTCTGCGCGACCTGGGCAACGATGCGGTTGCCGCTGTTGGTTAGAGCCTGTGATCCGGTTGCATACTGATGACTGCCTGTGCGAAGTGATCCGGGCATCATTCCCTGTAAGGTCTGCTGCTGCAGAATGTTTCCGGCTTGCTGCGACGGTCCCTGTCTCACGTAGAACTGTTGAAGCTGTTGCCCGTTGTTAGATGACGCGCGCGCGTAGCCCTTGATGGAGGGAGAGACCGCCCGCTGTATGCGCTGTCCTGCGAATTGAGGCAGTGGTCTTCTGTTTAACCCCGGTCCGCCGAATGGTTGAGGGGGAGGATTGAAGCGCGGCCTGAACCCGTCGTTTCTGATGCGACCTCGACCTAATGGAGATAACCTCGTGCCGAAACCATTACCAGCTCTCAGTGCCTGCCCTACGAACGGTTGATTCCTAAAGCCGAATCCCTGCTGCTGCCCATTGAAGGCGCTGTAGTCGGATCTGCATGGGAGAGCGCACACACCCAGAAGCAGCAGTAGTAGTAGTAGCGACGGCCAGGACCTCTTCATTGTTCTACAAAATGTGGGAACGTGGATCGATGTAGAAAAATGTAGATTAGCTCTATAGGCACGGCGCGTGTAGCTGGATATGCCACTCGCTGAAGCAGAATATTTAGCGCATAGTCATAATAGGCAACTTTGTATACTATGAATAAATACATGAGAGTGCGTGAATATTTATGAAGATCTACTCTGCCGTACTAGCGCAGAAATATAAACTATCAAAGCAGTTGATATCGATTAGTCGGGTCTGGAATAGATGTCTCGCGATATTGCGGTTAAGGGAACGTTTCGCAAAACGGAATTTTAGTATGTAGGCTCAAATATTTCGAACTAGTTTTTAAAATGTCTTCCTTCTACCTGAAAATGGTATATGCGAAAGGCAAAACCGTAAAGCTATTTTATGCTCTGCAATTTTGGCTCAAATATTAGAGAGCTTTTACTTTCATCCGGAGATTACAATTCATTTTATATTGGTAAAATATATCATATATAATTATATGTCTATTTTATTATTTGATATTCTGAATTATGGCACTAGTAACGTAACTCGTATAACGGGTTAAATTGCCTAATAAAGTCAGACATGGCAAAAGTTATAATCGATACGTTTTTGTTCACCCTGATATTATAATATAATTAACGTGCGGAACTGAATATAGAATACAACAGTACTTGACGGATAATTATCCAAAATTCCAATCCCATATTTCGACAAAATAGAAATACCGAAGTTTAAGCATGTTATCAAGAGCTAATAATACCTATGTATAATATAGTATTATACATTATACATACATTATGTATTATACAGTAGTATAATAATATAGTGGTATACCTATGTATGTATAATATACAATATCTATGCATACCTAGTTAATAATGTATTATAAGTTCTTGATGTTATATGCCTTACCTGTGATTCGCCTGCGTTGTACTTTGCATTAGAAAACTCCGCGAGCACCCGAAACCAATCTACGGCCTCACGGAGCGGCGATCGCCCGTTTTATATCTAGCTATGACGCCCTGTGGACCAACTGACCCGTATAGCCAGCCCCGTGACTCCCGCTTACTCCCGACATGCGTCTACGACACGGACCCGCGGGTAGAGATTAGTGCCGTGACTTTCGGCAGCCCGCCGGGCCCACATGAGGCGCTCCGAGTGTAGGCTACTACACGTTACAATGGCAGCATTCGAAATCCACGTTATGCATCCGGTATGCGGCCAACCGCCCTGCCTGATTGTTCTGCTATATAATCGTAAGGAGACGGCATGCACCTGGTTTAACTTTCCGTTTTAGCATCGATTATTCAAATCGGCACTTGACATAGATATCAATTAAGGTGGCGGTTTCGTCCAGTGTAGGTATTTGCTCGCGCAGAGCTTTAGAAAACGCGGGCGGTATTTCCTTGTACTTATCGCGCGAACGAATTGAGATTCGTCGTTGAACGGCAGGTGATGTTTTTGCATTTTGTTATGGTAATGTGTTCCGTTTTGCTCGCATGTAGCTCGTGCCTTTTTTGTGCAAGTTAGACGAGACGCGCTCAGTTAGTCACTTAGTGTGCTCCTCGATCAGGCGAATTGAGTTTAGTTTAGTTAGGCGAATTAGTGTTGCGAATTTAGCAATTGTTTATATATATATCCGCTCTTGATAATATAGGCATATATATATATAATAATAATTTAGGCATGACGTAGAGATGTACTTCTCGAAAGCTCGCAAATTAAAATTTAATGACCCCTTACGGCTTACGTATTTTTAACATTTGTTTACCTAAATAGGTAAATAGGTATAATTAATAACCCTAACCCTAATAAATAGGTATTTATTAGCTCTTGATATATATATATATATACAGGCCCGTAGCCAGCTTTATACTGGGGGGGGGTCGTTTTTAAATGTTTGCAATTTGTGAGGGCGCGAAGCGACCGAGCGAGGGAGCATAGCGACCGAGCAGGGGGAGGGTGGGGACACCCCCCTCCCACACGATGGAGATTTTGCAATTATCACACTAAAATGGAGCGATCTGGTGCATACTTGAGGTGAAATTCTTGCACATTTTCAAATGGAATTTTTTTCTTTTTTTTTTGGCTCGGGGGGAGGTTCGTGCGAACCCCCCGAACCCCCCCTGGCTACGGGCCTGTATATATATATATATAATTTCAATTTATATATCCGACAAGGGAAATGTAGGCCTAAGCATTTTTTGACAAAATTAGCGGCATATTTTATAGCATATAAACGTGATAAGATTACATAGATATACAATATACACATTATAACACAATGTTACAATCGCGGAGTAATTATATAACTATGTGCGTACGGTGCGCATGCTTCGTCTGAAACTTCGTCTGTTTACGTGGCATTTTATACCAGAAACGCTCAACATAATGCTCGCTGATTTTTGTACACTTGCAGAATTTGTGGCATGTTTATGAAATTGTGCAGCATTCGCCCTACACACATGGATGAATGCATGGATGGATAGATGGATGGATGGATGGTGGATGAATGGATGGATGGATGGATGAATGGATTGATGAATGAACCGACGGATAGATATAGATTGAGGAAGTAAGGGAAATGGGAGAAAGAAAGCGAGCGAGAATGTGTGCGTGCGGTTACGTACGTACGTGCGCGCGTGCTTGTGCGCGCACGTGTTTAGTATATACAGGAATTGTAATTGAAAAGTACACAATTACTAATGTGAACATCAGCACCGCATGCGTCATGAATAACTCCTTACTGATGACAAGTTCTGATGAAGAGAATGGCACGAGACGTTATTCAACTACATATTTTACCGCTATAGTGTCAATAACGATCATTTTTACCATCAGTCGTAATTTTTTTTTACCTAACACCATGAGTGCGTGATGTTTTCCTCTAGAAATTAACGTTAGCGTTAAAATGTAAAATTATCGAAATGATTGAATATCGAACTACGAGACATTCCAAACACACCTGATATAACTCAGCAGGTAGCTAGGAAGTAGGCTACATAGTCGTTATCCCGCTAGTCTGCTCGTAAATGGCATTTATTCCTATTCACACCGCATTTCGCACGACGTAAATATGTGAAAGAAAATTGGCTTTAGAAGCTGAAGAAGCTTTGGAAACTGAACAATGCCACTGCTAATATAGTGAGCGGCCTACATATCTTGACCTTTATTGTTAATTGCTGGCGCAGTCTCATGTACGCGCGAGAACACAGTATACACGCACACGCACGCACGCACACATATGCACACACACACGACACACCTATATACACGCATGCACACACACAGATGCGCACACACACGTACACGCATGCACACACACACATAAATGCGCACACACACGTACACGCATGCACACAAACACGCACAAGCAAACATGCATCCACGCACAAACACACACGGACGCACCCACACGCATACACGCATGGGTACACGAACACACACGCAACTGAACACGTCGCTCTCACGTACACAGAAGGCGAATCGATCGAGTGTCTATACTCTCAAAATCGGTTGTATAACGTCGACTCAAATAGGAAAGCTAAAATCTTACCGATATGGAGGCACACTAACGGATCCAGAGGGGGGCATCATTACTGTGTCCAACCGCCCGGTAAAAGATTCTAAAACTGAAAACCAGTGAAAAACGCGAAACACTGATTTAGCAGCATTTCAAACCTCAATTTTTCTTATTTCACCCCTAATTTACTTCCCACCGGATGCCAGAAATTACCTTCGAAAGCACTAAAATGCTCGGCTGGACCCCCGCTGGCGACCAGCGCTTACAGTGTTCCAACATACACCCTTCATCGATACAGTGAAAAAAATACACGGGGGCTCGGTACGATTTAGCCCCCGAAATGCCCAAAAGAGCCCCGGAAATGCAAAAAGAGCCCCCGGAAATTTGCATAGAGTTCAATGCAAACCAAATTTTAAAGTACTATTTTCATGCACGCGAGCTTGAAAAGTAGCCCCCGAAAAATAAATTTTACATTTTTTCTCTGCATCGATAGTATATCCCCTCCCCCGCTGACCCATTCATTGATCCATCACTGGTAAGCCAACCACTGCCTGACTGGTCTTGCAAGCTATGCGGTGACGCTGCTTTCACGTAAACATGCAACAACGCCTTTCACAACAAACAATAACAACAACAACAATAACCACAACTAAAACTGGTAACGAACTCCGGAACAAAACCCACCGACACTCAGAGCCGTCAAAGCGCATGCAATTGCCTCTAACGGATTAACAAAAAACGTGCTTAGCAGGACGCAGAGTGAGAGCAGCGCGAATATATCGTGGTTGGTTACTCGTGGTGTATGCGAGTCGCTCCGACTCAAGATTGCACACTAGAATATAGCTGTTCCTGAAATGTAAACCCGCGGGTCATGCATCGAGTGAAAACACTCACTGCCTATAGGTGTTTGTGCGAATGTACGGCTATTATACTGAAACAATAACGCGTCCCCGTTTCCACTACGTTAGTTTCGTTCATAAAAACTGAACCACTGGGTCGTGTAGCACTTTATATAGTCTGCAAATTAACTCTCAACTTTCTTTCGTTCGTATGTAAGACGCGCGCGTAATAACAGATATTAGCTATAGGCTATCGCGCGCGTGGAGTGTATGAAGAATTGAACATGCAGATTAGAAAAAGGAATATATCAGGGGCGTGTACAAGATTTGTACCAGGGGTGGGGGGTCTAACCGTAACCCAAACTTGCAAGCACGCGAAGGAAAGCGTCCAGAATTTTTTTGAAATTAGACTCCCTTAGATGCGTTTTCTGCGCGAGCAGGGGGTGGGGGTCCGGACCCCCTGGACCCCCCCCCTGTACAGCGGGGGGCCTTGTATATATATATAATATATATATATATATATATATATATATATATATCAAGAGTCAAAATGTTCTATTATGGACTCTTGATATATATATATATATGGGTATATGTATATTTGTAATGTAGAATATGGTGTCATATTTGTCATGGCTATAAAATTAACATCACATACATATCCCATATATATATATATATACATATACATACATATACATATACATATACATATACATATACATATACATATACATATACATATACATATACATATACATATACATATACATATACATATACATATACATACACATACATACATATATACATATATACATATATATACATATACATATACGTAATACACATATGGTTCCACCCTGCATAATTTACGCACATATATACAGTTGTACAGGCTACAGCTGGTGCAAATAACATGTCGTGTAGCAACGCTTTCCGTGGCTCAGTAGTGCGCTCGCTAGCTGCAGAATATATAATAGCACGGTATCTACGAGCTGCCGCTACCACTCCCGTGGTCTACGAGCCATTGCCGCCTAACATGTGCGACCCCGGCTCCCGATAATGGGATATTATTGTGCGACCAGACGCACGTGGTCGATAGTGAGTCCGTCCATTGGATAATGATGTTATTGGATGCGTGACGTCACCGGCCTATAATAATAACACTCGATCCAAAATGGCTGATGGACAAGAAAGGCTTGACAGCGTTCCTGACTTGTCGGTGATCTCGGCGGACTGCGAGGCCATTCCTGTGATGGATGATTTCGAAGTTGGCGTAGAGTTTGCCGACGACGAAAATGACCAAATGGTGGCGGAATGCGAGGGCTCGACGCGGAATACACAGATCGCAACCCGCAATGCCCTTTCTGCGATGCGTTCTTACTGCCAGGGTCGTCACGTAGACATCGACAACATAACGGACAAGTCTCAACTTCTTGACATATTGTGCGATTTCTATAGTAACGTTCGCAGGCGAGATGGTACTGTGTACTCGAGAGGATCGATGTGTTCCATTAAGTGGGGCATAGCGCGGTATTTTTTCCGCTCCAGACGATGGGACATCGTTAAAGATCCGTACTTCGTACCGGCAAATGCCGTGTTTAAAGCCCAGTGCTCGCAGCTGTCTCGACAAGGCCGATGTGCAATAAAGCACCGGACAGAAGTAACTCCGGCAGATATACGCAAGTTATACTACGGGCCGATTACGAACACTAGTACTCCTCACGGGCTACAGAATAAGGTCTGGTTAGACGTAATGATGTACTTGAACCCGGGAGGCAGACAAACGTTGCGGATGCTCACGAAAGAGGCGTTCATCATCGGGGAGGACAACGGGCGCGGATACATACACCTGGACAGCGCCTTCCACGAAGACAATGGCTTTACTAATGCAAGTATTACGTCTGGAAGGATGTGTCAACGACCAGGTACTAAAGATAAACATGTCAAAAAGTGTCACAAGTCCTATATATAGATCTGGTAGTGGTATAGATCTATTGTGCATGCACTTGTATTTATAACTTTATGATATATATATATATATATAATATATATGGCAGTTTCTCCTAACCCTTTACGTGTGGTTCCCTGTGGTTGCACCCCGGCCTTATATGGGGAGACGGGTTGAGGTGAGGCACAGAGGTATAGAGATGGGGTAGCAGAGAGGAAAGAATGAAAAGAGGGTGGAATGCGAAGAAGGGAGCTAAAAAACAAAACTATGTCTAGCAGAAACAAATTATTAATCATAAAAATAATATAGGTAAACTCTATATATATAGTGTCTCTATGTATTTCTATGGTTGGTAATCTTTGCCATTGTGTGGACTCTCGATCTCATATAGCTTATTTACCTAATATTAGTTGTAGTTATCAGAATTAAGTGATTTTGTATGGCATTTATACGTTTACACTCTTTACATCTTTACATGTTGCTGCTGTCTAAATTTCGTTACGAATTATAGTATGCAGCTGTTCCTAAATCGTTTTCATCATCTTTGCTAATTCGTTCGTGAGACATTACCATGTACCCAGTCTGGGACTGATATCTGTTGTGCAGGACTGGGTAATTTTTATGGATGGTACTATAGTATAGGTTATACAAGTTTATATATAGTCGAAATCTTAGTTTTTGGAACTAAATCAGGCCTGGCTGGGTAAGTTACATCTGTAGGATATTCTAATGTACTGAGGTCTAATTCATATGTACAGTATATATGTATTCTGTATATAAAAATATCCAAAAGTTATCAGGGTCATAATTGTTATTAGGCTCCTCATTATTTGTATCATTTCTGACCTGCTCCAGCAAAACCAGGATTAAGTAGGAAATTCTACAAATTGAGTTATGTGCATATCTGAATAGATCATTTAATTACCTTTAAAATGATATATAATATTTGGCTATATAGGAGAATTGACCGATCTACAGCAATTTGAAGATCGGAAACCGACTTATTCCGGAATATGCAGCTTTTGAGATAAAGCGTTTCGGGTAAGGGATGAGCGGGGATGAGTGGTCAATTAAGTCAGAAGTCTCTTAAAAAATATTTTTTATTTTTTCATTTTTTTAAATTAAAAATGACCATAATAATCTAGAGATATCTGAACCTATATATCCGGATTAAATATGCACTTAGGAACTTATTTTTGTAAAAAAATCATTTTTGTCCAGGTAGGCCATTTTCAGCATTGACATGTGTGCGTGCTCATTACTCAAAACAATGATTTGCGACTTAGTCCGTATTATGCTGGAGCGGGTCACATTTGTACTTTCATGTAGCAATTGTCTTTCTCGATCAGCCAGATGGATTGTAAAATTTAGTAAACCCCTGGTGATTCTGTAATTTCTGGTAACAAACAATGCTAAATAAATTTACAAACAAATCTGCCTTCATGGGGGCATACTTGACATTATTACCTAATATAAGCAGCATTCAAGGGCGGATCTAGCTTTCACGGGATGGGGGGGGGGGGTTGTTGATATTTGAGTGAAGGCGGGGAATACCCAGTTTCTATCAGCCTGCAGACTGACTTTTTTATTTTTGTCCCCATTTTACTAGTATTGTAACATTAGTTAGTGGCTGAATGGGGAGGGTGATTGCAACCCAGCCCCCAACCCCCCTCTAGTCTAGATCTGCCACTGGCATTTATTCTTAAAAAATGATGTGTTCGTCTTTAATCAATATTTTTATAATTGTCCACTGATTTCCTTCTTCACCATATTCAAGAATGTGACATTGTTTTCCCATACAAAGTGTGAATGTAATCTGCCAAGAAATACAGATAAATATATTTATAATAGATTTTTTAATTAATATTCTTATTGATATTATTTATTATATATTTATTTGATATTAACATCACGAGGGTAGCATGGTAAAATCAGCAACTTATAAAGTGGGTTCTCTTGTAAGAATTAGTTTTACTCTGTCCAGTATATATATGTTCTTTATAATGTTTTGCAATCTGAAGCAGTGCAATTGGAATTTGTAAATGTGAAGCTACTGGTTACCAGCTAGGAATATGATTAATTGCTCCTGGTTGCAGGAAATCCAAGGTGCCCGTATGCCAGCTTCATGAAGTATGCATCAAAGTTGTCACCTCTTATCAATGCATTCTGGCAGCGTCCGTTTGAAGCAGCAGAAGAGAGTGACTCGATCTGGTACAACAGTACTGCAGTCGGAGAGCATTTTCTTGGAGGCATGATGCAGAGACTTTCTAGGGAAGCAGGACTCTCTCAGGTGAGCCCAGCTGGTAATATTCGTTAATATTCTCCAGGCTGCACTACATGCAGATAGAAGACTGTAATATTAGTCATTGTATATATATATGAATCCGAAATACATGTAGTGTTCCGTTAGAAATCATGCGTAATTGTATTGCTCACGGGGAATTGCACGAAGTTTTTATTTTTGCATAGATCTGTCCTGCATAGTCTTGGCGTGGGACTAGTCTAGATACAATACTCCCTCAGATATCCCCTTCCCTGACAATGCATACAGCCGCCCATAATTAATATGCTTCCATTGGCAATAGGCAATATCTTCTCCTAGGCAGTCTTTCCTCCCATACAGTATCATTCTTGCCAATGTCTAACCGAAAATAATTGTCCATGGAGTCCTTGTCACGTCGTAAGAATGTGTTTAATATTCTTTAAATTAAAGGGACAGTAGCCGCTAGGATTTTACTGCATACAACTGTACTTACTGTATAACAAATCGTCTATACCCACATGTATTTGTCACCAGATACTTAATTAATTATTTACACATCAACGCTACGAAATTTGAACGGCGCCATGACACCCGCGACCAGGCTGCCACCCTGAAAAAGTTGCGTATTTGCATTTTTATTTTGCAGGTAAATGACCGAGGGCTAATCACAAAAGTGCAATTATATTTATACCTAAATGCTATTTAACCGAACGATATTCATATTAGGGCAAATTTATCCATATTATAACTGAAACTATATGTCGTTTATAAGATATTACAATCTTTTTGCTTTTAAATGAATAAATAAGAAATACCCTCGGTCTGTCCCTCGGTCTGTAGCCCTTGGCTGGAAAGTGGTTTTGCGCAACTTCTCAGATCGTGCGCTTTGGAGTGGCGCCACCGTCGTTGTTTGATTACGTAGTCGTTAGTTTTAAAACATTTAAAAAAAATATTTCTAATGGTGATTGAACCATGAAACTTTTTATGTAGCGCAAAAAGGGAGAGTTTACTCTAGGTTCTAGGGTTATTTTCAGCTAATTTAGGTTATAATTAAAAACTAGGGTCTCCGGAACGGCAAAAATGTAAGATCTGCATGGTAACTAAACTTAATGCTCTGGAACGAGATATTCTTAAAAATGCGATGCACTGGAACGAAAGTTTAGGGTTAGGGTTGAACATAGGGGGTCTCTCCCGCGGCACATACCTACCATGCAATATATATATATATGGAGTGCCCCCTCCACCGACCCAGCACGACTCAGTTAAGCTGAGAGGGTCTATGTCCCCCGGGGTACTG